TGCTTTGGGACCCTTTAGTCCTGTGTTAGAATAGGGAGGAAGCCGTCTTCTAAATGGCCACCATCCTGTTGTCTAGACATAAAGGAAGAGATGTGGTCTCAGGGAAGCTGCAGGGAAAGGCTATATATACTTGGATTTCCTGTCAGAGGTGCGGTCTTGTATTTACATAAGTAGTAGGATCCTCCAGCAGAACCCCGTCTAATATAATTTACTAGAGAGCGGAATTCAGCATTAAGTGAATTCATCCTCAACCCCTTCCCAAAGGGTAGTTATTTGGCAACGGGAAAATCAACATGGCTAATGTGGTATTGCAATGTCAGTTTCAGGGTAAAAGCCTTTCAATCTCATATTAATACAAGTTCACCCCATCTCTCCCATATATAAATACTTTAGGACTAACAGCTCACATTTGCAGGACATTGTCCAGAGTCAGGGGGGAGTTTGTGGCCTTATACTGAAGACGTCCACTTACTTAGAATGAAGTCCATGTCCTTGACCTAATTAGTCCAGCATGATAAGCAGCTGAACTAAGTACCCATGGCAGTCAGAATAACAACAACAATTCAAACAGAATCCAGTACTTCTAGACATTGTTAGGTCACCTGCAGAGTTCTGTCCCAGTGATGGATTTTTGTGCTGGAACTAGCTTGGAAGTCATATGTTTTTGGCATTGTGGCTTAAATAAAATATATCTGAATTATTTTTTAAAATGCTATAGTCTTGCTGTCGTAGGTTGGGTACTCCAGGAAATGGAGTCTCTGAGATTTGCATGCTGAAGGTTTATTGGTGAGTGCTCCTGGAACTACAGTTGTGAGAAATAAGGGAAGCAGGATTAAGCAGAGGGAGAAATTGAGGCAAGGGGTCCAGGTCTTCATCCCTACCTCCCTGCCCCATCAAGTGGTCATCAGTCAGCTGTGAGCCCTCAGCAGCCAACACTCCCAGCAATTCAAGATCAAGGGTCTTGATCCTGAAGTGGAACATGGGTGGTGGTACTCCATGTTGTCTGCTGCACTTGCCAGCTAGTACTTTTACTTCCCAAGTGCCTCCACGTTTACTATTCCATTTTACCTACCAAGTAGCCTGTGAGAGAGACAGGGCCAGGTCAGGATCATTCTTCCACGTTAATACACATGAACGCGCAGGAAAATCTAAGTTCAGAGAGTCTAAGTCCCAGAGTCACCCAAGACTTGTCTCTGGCTCCCACCCAGAGTGATCTCTACTTAAAAGATTGTGTTCATTTTTTCTACATCTAGAGTTTATAGAACTGTAAACTATAAGAAGCCAAAAAGATAGTGAAGACCAGGTACCTCATTTTAAAAGTAAGAAAATAGGCTCAGAGATTGGGATGATTTTGCCAAAATCAAGCTACAGGTCTGTGGCAGAGCTCAGCCTTTTGACTAGATTTCCTGCACTCAAGATCCAGTTGTCATGACCTCTGATGTGCTGAGCACAGTGTACTACATAGGAGTTACAGACATGAGCAGGTTATAAAGTCCTCTGCCCTAGACGATTTTAGAATCAAGTAAGTTTCTTCAGGCCACTTTAATAGTTTCACTGAGACAAGTAGAGTGAAACTTTCTGTTCTAAGTGTTCTCTCTCCTTGCAGAGTCTAAATTCAGAAAAAAATAGCATATGGTTCCTTCAGAATGGGTAATCTATGTTCTAAACCGCCATCAACCAGATGCCTGTAGCACTCCATGCAGACATACCCAGATGACTCTTCCATTGACTCTCCCCAACCAAGATTCATTTCCAAACCAGTGTCATGGTAGAGATGACTAAGATAACTGCATTCTTATTCTCTTGAAACAAGTTTACAGTGTTTGTGAGACATCATTCTGTGTCTTGGACACAAAAATCATAGTTGTGTGGGGCAAAGGGAATGGATTTGGGTTTACGAAGTCACAGATCTATCCTCGCTCCAAACCTTCCCAGTGCTATTCCCACAGCTAGGACCAAAATGAGGCAAGTCTAACTGGGGCAGGCAGAGGACATTTGCCCTTATATTATTCAGCTCTTGTCACCGGAGTTTTCTTTTCTTTTCTTTTCTTTTTTCTTTTTGGTTCCGGTACGCAGGCCCCTCACTGTTGTGGTCTCTCCCGTTGCGGAGCACAGGCTCCGGACGCGCAGGCCCAGCGGCCATGGCTCACAGGCCTAGCCGCTCCGCAGCATGTGGGATCTTCCCAGACCGGGGCACGAACCCATGTCCCCTGCATCAGCAGGCGGACTCTCAACCACTGCGCCACCAGGGAAGCCCATTGTCACTGGAGTTTTCTAATCAGAATGCGTTGTGCGTCCCATGTTCTCACTCTCCAGACTTAAAACTTCTTTACTGGTGACAGTGATCACTGTTTACAGCTCCTTTTGTCTCCCTTCTATTGGAGTGGTTAGTCCTCGTCACTACTTAATAAACCAGGTGAAACAAGGCAGACCTGACAAAAAGTTCTCTCCACCTCCCAGGTTTCTCAGAGAGCTCCCCACAGGGGTAGAAACTTGCACACATACCTTACCTACAAAAGGAGGCCCCAGAGCTGCTAGAACACTCTGTTAAGAAATACCCATGGGAACATAGACCTTAAAAGAAATTAGACTGCAGGCTAGAAAATAATTTTAATGCAAAATAGAAAGGACCAATTCACTGTCATTTTCCTTGCTCTGGCCCTATAGACGCCCCCTCCCTGTGACTTTGAGATGGTGGGAGGAGCATGCTGTGTTTCTAGGGTGACTGTCCATGTGGGAAAGAGTCTCTCATGCTGGCAGCTTGCTCCCAGATCTGGAGGAATGCTAATGTCCTTTAGATCTGGGAGTAGATGTGAAACAATAAAATAACTTATATCTAGTTTATTGCCTCTACCCATCCCATCGCCTTCCTTCTTACAGTCACAGGGAAGCTGCATCATCGTGAGATCCACAGGGACCCAAGGTCACTTTTAAAGAACCTGCAAAATAAATACATAATGAGGATGGATGAAGTTAACCGGGAGTGGTGGGGCAGGGAAGAGGAGAGAAGAGCCTGGATCTTTGAAAGTATCTCCTTTCTGGTTAAGGAAGTGGAGCCTGAAAGGAGGAGGAGGAGGGAGAAGGGAGGAAGGAACCAGGAAAAATGCACCTTCTCTGCTGAGGGGCATCCTTTGCTGTTATTCATGTTGATGTTCTTCATGGAGATGAGGGTGATGCTGTCTTTCTCTCCATTGGCTGTGGAGCAGCTGGGGAAGGAAAGGAACATGGGTTATAGACAGAAGGAGCCATAGGGCAATGGGGGTCAAGGAACTGGGGGGTTGTGAAACTTAACCTTTGTTTTAAGAAACCTTTATTTTGGTGGTGGACTATAATGAAATGAGTGTCGCTTTGAAGCCCCAAAGACTTGTGTTTAAATCTTAGTTTTGCTACCTATTACTTGTGTGATCTTGACCAAGTTACAACCTCTACTAAGTCTTAATTTTTTAAATGTGTAAAATGCAGTAATATCTGCCTTGAAGAACTCCTCTAAGAATTTGAGATATTACAAAAATTTCTACCATAGTGCTTGGCACATATAAGGTGTTCAACAAGTGGTTCCTTAAATAAGTACCTTCTTGTTTAAGGAGTATATCAGAATCCGAATTCCTGCACTTTTCATGAAGGGGTTATAGAGACTTAGCCTTGGGGCTGAAGCGTTCTATTCCATCACCTGCCCGAGCCCTGGTCTCAGTGAGGCTGTCAGGATTCTGTGTGTGTGTGTGTGTGTGTGTGTGTGTGTGAAGGCAGGAAGTGTTGGTCCCTCTTGGAATGGGGGAGTAAGAGGTTAGTAGATGATTCTTCCCTTATACCTCTGACAGTCTTACCTTTCAGAGAGCCCCGAACTCCCAGGTTTCTGGGGATCTGTAAAAATCCAAAGGCACAGATTGGAGGTCACAGGCTGTAACTCAGAAGCCCAATCTGCCCCTCAAAGCCCACCCAGTGGACCCTCCCATTTCCCCTAGTGGTGCCAGTCCTTCCCTCATCTCCAGGCTGGGTGTCAGTTCCAGAATCTAGCTCTGGGTCCCTCATCAAAGAGAGGCAAAGGGGGCCCTGAGGGTCAGGGCATGTACCTTCAGACTCCTTGTTCTTCCGACACTTAAACCTTAGACTGACCACACTGACCAGGACGATCACCACAACCACCAGGATGGCAATGAAGCTGATAACACCTGAATAGGGAAGAGGATGGGGTGAAGGAGAAGCAGAGGACAGGACAGAAGAGGGCAACAGGAGTCCAAATTCCCTTCCCAGCTAAGTGCTGTGTAGACAGGCTCTGGGAGTAAAGTGAATTCCCCTTCTCTGTTGAATGAATGAGCTCTCAGCCTGCTATTTCTGGCTCCACAGCCCTGCCCCATCCTCCCTTAAGAACATGGAGCCCATCAGAATCCAGAAGAGCTGAGGGGAGGGCCAGCGGAGGCTCCTTCCCACCAGCGTCTTCCTCATCAGCCAAACCCTCCTAAACCAAATGGACAAGATTTGAACTTGAGTGCTAGAGTCCAAGTCAGCTCAGGCGTGAGGTCCCCTGCCACCCCCCACCTTCTCCTCCCTCTCACCGAATGCAGCCACAGTGAGCACGGTCTCTGACGTGGGGCTGGGCAGGATGGTCGAGTCTTCTCTCGTCCTCAAACTCATGGTGGGTAATTTGGACGTAACATTGTGAGAGGTGTCTAAAAGGGAGTAGGGATGGGGGTATCAGCGAAGGGACTGACGCGGTCTATATGAGAAAGCTGGTCCCCTCCCACTTCCCCCAGTTAGAGGACTGCAGAGAGAACTCATGCCCTACCAAAAAGACTTCCTCCCACCCTTCAGAACTGGGTGATGTGGGATCACGTGAAGAGCATTGCTGGTTGCTCGTGTTCCTAGTTCCAGAGGACTTCAGAAAATTCAGGATGCTTCTCTCATTATGCTCTTCCCACCACACCCGTGGGGTCCAGAGGAAAGGGATTTATGCTGCAGAGATAGGGAGCCAGACTGGGCAAGGGGGAGCCATCTGTGTTTTGCCAAAGTTTGAGGCGGAAGGAAGGAAGGGCATCAGATGTTTGTCCCCGGGCACTGACCTAACAAGCCAGGCTGCCAGTTAATGGGCACAAGTTTCTGGTGCTCTTAAAAAACGGTATGGTCGCCCATCTCTGCCCCGCTTCAACACATTTACTGCAGGCCTGATTGCTATTCCACTTCCTTATCCTCACCCAACTCCTAAATAAGTCTGGAAGTGTAGAAAAGCCCCAGAGCCGAGGGCTGGGATGAGAGAAAGGGTTAGGGTGCTCTTCACTGTGAGCACAGACAGGACGTACCTCTGCTTGTACTGTCACTCCTCTTGCCGCTGCTTGGGACACCTGTGCCTGCACCATGAAACAGGAGGGCCCAGATGGAGGGTGTCCACCCCCTCCTAGTTTTCTCCCATGCTGCTGGGTGAAGGCCAAACTGCCCTGAGAAGCGTGTAGCCCTTTCCCGCCTTTTCTGCCTCCTTTTCCAACATTTTGGGTTCTCCTACCCTCGGCTTACCCGTTCTATGTCTTTATCAGTACTGGCTCCTTTAACCTTCACTGAGACCAGTTCCTGTCTCCACCTCCCCCCAACCCCAAGCCTCTCTACTTCTCTCCCAGAGCAGGGTACCACTGGTGTGGATCCTGGCCTTAAGAACCCTCACTGTGGGGCAGGACCTGGGCTTCCCGAGGCGGGAAGAAGGAACCCAGCCAGACATGACCCAGGGTTTTTCACCCCCAGTCCCAGGTACTCATGGAGTCCTGACGTGTGCTTCTGTGGCTGGGACCAAGTCAGTCCCAGCAAGGACAGGGGTGACCGGCCATGGTGCTTGAACTCAGAGTCATGGGTTTACTGGCTTCCATGGAGACCTGTGAGGGCTTCTCTGGAGCTGCTGCAGATTAGGAAGCATGCGTGGCCTGCTTAGGGCCTCAACCAGCATGTGCGCAGGGAAGCTCTTTAGCCCCAAATCTGCCTTCAGTTCCTCTGGGCCTTTACCTTTGCAGTTCCTTATCCCTGGGATACGCCCTACCACCCTCCACCCCACAGTCTTCATCTGATTAACTCCTTCTTGGGCCTCAGCTTCAGAGATCACTCACTCTGGGATGTCTGGCCCCCAAGTCTGAAGTGGCTAATGTTGCCCGGGTTCCCATAGCACCTTCGGCTTACGCTCATCATGGCCCTTCTCACCCTGCTTTGTAACTGTCAATATGAGGTCCTATTTGCTTGTCTGGTCCTCCACTTATCTGTGTTGTCCTTTAGAGCAGAAACTGTGTCTGCCTCCTCACTGGACCCTCCCTGGATGGCATCTGTAATCTGAGTGGCAGAGTACCTGGGATGCTGGTGCTGGACAGAGGGCTTGAGTAGTTGGGCTCTGCGGAAGGACCATCTCCTGCAAGTACAAGTGGAGGGCAGCTGGAGGTGGGGCAGGTTTGGTGACACCACACTCCCTAGCCCACCCGAGAACCCTTGGGCTCCAAGCAGATCTAAAGGGCTGGGCAAGGGGCAGGGCTTGGCCCCTAGGCAACCACACTCACTCACCTGTCTGGGGGGAAGTTGGCTCTGTGGTTGGACTATGACTGCTGAAGTTTCCTGAAACAGATCATCTGAGACTGAGGGTCCGCTCCCTCCTATTGCTCCATCTGCCTCTCTCCTTCGCTAAGCTGGTGTTTTCTAGTCTTTCTTCCTCCCCCGCCCCACACCCCAACCTGTCATCTCTCTCCTCTCTCGAGGCATGTGAAAGATTAGTGCCAAACAGGCCTGGAGCTCTTTCCACTTTTCCTCAGCTCCCAGGCCAGAATGCTGGAGTAGGCCCTGTGTCTTTGATCTTACCCTGAGGGCTAGTTGTCGTGGGCTGGGAGTTGTGGCCTGCAAGAGAAAGCAGAACACGTAGACTAGCTTGGTGAGCCTCCTCGGAGAAGAACCCAGGCCTTTTGGCTTCCAGCCTCCCACGCTAGAAGGCAGACACCCTTGGCAGTAGAGGGTGTGACTCCAGCTCACGGCGCTGTCTTCCTCTGAGACTGTGACTCAATCACACCATCACCACCACCTCACGGTTCGTTGTCCTAGAGTCCTTTCCTATCTTTTCAGCCCCGCATGGGTTATATACCAACCCGACACAAGGGCAGGGGAAGTTTATTCCAAAGTAGTGATACGTCCAAGGACAGAGGGCCAGTGACCTGCCACGTCTAGACAAAGAACCAGAACTCCAGGTCTCTAGCTAATGTTCTCACTACACTACCATGGAGCCATCCCTTTTCTGTGAATACTGTCATCCTGGTCTTGCCCGAAGGGAAGGGAATGGAAAGATGTGGTGAATAAGATGAGGTGAGGGATTGGGGTTGGTACCTGGGCTGTCTCTCTGCCCTTCCAGCTGGAGGTAAGGGCCTACACAGGAAGCAAGTTCTGAGGTACATACAGGAGGCAAGGAAATTCTAGAACGAGCCACCAGTTTACTCTAACAGGTAGAGGCTACTTCAGAAATGGTCACTGTTAGCCAAACCCAGGGAAGAGGCAATTATCAGGAGGCCCCAGTCACAAGGCCTCGTTCTGCTTTGTGTGCGTGCGTGAGCGTGCCTGCGGACCTCCACGCAGATGTGCATGTGTGCTGTGTGTCCATATACGTGTCCCCTGTGTGTGTGAGATCTGAAAGGTCAGGTTGTGTTTGCTCATTTTCCACAATGAAATCATTCTTGAAACCTGTGAACAATGTGAAAGGAAAACAACGTGGGGAAGTGGAGCCGCCCAGCTGGGTTCCCGTCCTCCACTAGCTGGGCTGGGGGCCCAGGCCCCCGTGAACAGAGGCTGCTGAGGTCCAGGGACCTGCCCAGCCTAGGGCAGCCCACTAGTTTATTTTCTTCAGCCACTGCCTTCCTCCATGGTGCTATCACTTGGATAGTGTGGAATTAATTGCTTCCAAGCCCAAGTTTGCCCAAAGCCAGGGCTGTGTTTTTCCAGGTCACCATCTCTCATAGCCCCATTCCCTCCTTGGGTGGGGCCATCAAGAGGGGAGTTAAAACTTCTAGGTGCCCCAGCGTAGAGAGAACTCTTCCCAGCTGGGGAATCACCCTGGGTGAACATTTTTCAATCTGAGGCATGTCTTAAAAAAAAAAATCTATCAGTTATTGATCAAGCATATCTAAGGTACCATCTTTGTTCTATAAGGTGATAACTAGTTTTTAGTGGGAAGGCACAGTTCACTGCCTTCCTGCGTTTATCTAGAAGCAAAACTAGTGTCTTAGAAGGAGTTGCAAAGTCACAAGCTCTGAGTCCCAGTGGCCCGCCTGCTCTCTCTTTGTCTCCTGTCTCCCCTCCCACTACCGGAACACTTTGTCAACAGTGGATTCCTCTGTGAGTAGAGGAGGGACTTGGGGAGCATCTGTTTCTATAGGCCGGTCTGCCTCTGACCACTAGGCACAGGGATATCTTACTTTCCGGTCTCCCCTCCCTAATCCCTACCTGCTTCACTCCCTGCCAGCCTCTCTCTTCCCCCTCTTCACCACCCACCACATTGTTTTCCTCAGCAGCGTAGTTTAGTAGTTAAACTCATAGATTTTGGAGTCTGGCGGTCTTGAGTTCAATCCCTGACTCTGTCGCTTACTGTCTGACCTGGGCCTCAGTTTTCTCTTCTTTAAAATGCAAGTGATTTTAGTAGCCCAAAAGTCGTTGTGAGGATAAGAAAAGGCACATAAAGCACTTAACAAAGGGCCTGACAGTTCATGCTCAAGAAATTCTAAACATTTAAAGTTTTGCCCCCTTCTCTCCAATCCTCCAAGTTTCAAGTCTGCCCTGAATCTGTGTCTCCACAGTCACGTCTCTTTGTGGGCCTGAATATCCTCAGAAAGATTCCCCAGTCCACCAAAAGAAGGAAACAGCGAGGGCTGTGAGATCCTGGGATGAGCGGCTAGGATACTCAAGGGTGATTGTAGCTCGGGTAGAATCACTCAGGACATTCCTAACCCTGGGGCTTGGCTGGGACGGGATGGCAGGTAGGGAAGCTGGGAGAAGCCTAGGTTTGTGAAAATGTCCCCTCGTGGGTCTCACCTTTTAATCTCCTTCTCTGCCATTTCTGAGGTTTCTACGACAGCCTAGTCCCCCGGCCCCAGATCAGATGTGTGACTCCATCCTCCCGGGAGGGGGTGGGGGAATAGGAATGGGATGATCAGAGTTTTATCCCCAGTCCTTGGGCTTTTAGAAAAATGTCTGACCTCTCCAGGAGACAGAGCGTTGGGGAACTTGGCCCTCTCACCCACCGCCAAGAAACCACCATCCTCCCTCCCCATCCAAATACTCTTGAACCCCCTTCTGCCGCTTTGAGCACATGCTCATAAATCCTCCACAGAGGACCTGTGGAGGGTGAGGTGGGGGTGGGGAAGGGATGACCAAAGGGAAGTTTCTGCCCTGTGAGTCAGAATCTCCTGGATTTCTCATGTTTCCCAGAAACCGCTCCCTAATTAGAGGACCCCTTATGAGCTGCTTCACAGCTCATCAGCTAGCAGAGCTCTGTCTGAGAGGTGTTGTTCCCAAGTCATTTCCTCTGGGGGTCATTTCATCTGGCCTCCTAGATGAAATGTGTACATCTTCTTTGGCAAACGGTTCTTTGTATCTAACCTGAGTCCCTCTTGCTGTGATTTGAGCATAAAGTCAATATTTGGAAATCCCAGGTTGTTACTCCTCATATGAAAGAAGAAAAAAGATCACCTGTAAAGCCAAGGTACAGACAGTTTTGTGCTAGGACACCCTGGGAGGAGCTTTCCAGCCTCAGCCTCACACCAAGACTGTCACCTCCCACATTTCAGGGGGCCAGCCTCTCCGGGGGCCCCAGTTCACCCTGGAAAATGTCCCACAAAAGAGTCTAACCATACCTCTATTTTACCGCTGCCTGGGAATGACCAGCTCCCAAGCCAAGTGGTCCCCTTCACAAAAAGGCTCTGGAATTTCCCTCCGGGTGAGCGAAGCCCTGGATGCAGAGCCTGTGTGGTGTGTGTCCTGAAGGAGAGACAAGCGCCCAGGACTGCCGGCCACAGGAGAGGAGCTGCTGAAGGACAGTGGCAGGTGCCTCTTACCTTGGAGCAGGAGGAAGCCCAGGATGGCCCAGCACAGCTGCGTTTCTCCGACGCTCCCCATGTCAGCTGGGTCGGCAGCAGGCAGGCAGCCTCTGTGCGGAGGCTCTGTCCATAGTGGAAAAGAGAGAGGGAGTGCTGGGGCGGGATGGGGGTGGGGGCTGACTCTCCAGAGTTTCCTGTCAAAGAATAGAAGGAAACAGATTGGGACTGGCTCCAGGGGCCCTGCTCAGCCCGGCAGCCCAGTTGAGGATGTAAGGCTGAAACAGCCGCGCCTGCGCCCGGGCTCCTCGTGGCCTGGGCTAGGGCCACCGTGGTCTCCTCCAGGACCTGTGCCCAAAAGCCAGCGATGGCAACCTGGCCCCGTGCCCCCTCTCTTCCCCTCCGTGGGGATCCATCGGTCCCTCCGTACACCACCTGGAGGCTTTCTTGGAGTGTAACTGTTTCATTGAGCCCCATAGCTCGGCCCACTGGCCACCCACCCTCTGTAGACTGAATCCTCTACTGAATCCTCTCCCTCCTCAGGGCTCCGGATGCAGATGGGACTCCCTACATCTTTCAGGGAGACCTTACAAACATTATTGTTATTCTGAATAGAAAAACAAGAGGACCACGTTCTAAGCATCCCTCCCTCAGCCCTCCCCTCACGTTGGGGTCAGGTGTTCCCTGTGCTCCAGCAGCAACTTGTCCTTAGCATCCAGCCAGCCAGTTGCACTCACTCTGCAGGTCAAGTCAGCAGCCCAATGACAAGCAGCTTAAGCGAGCTTGGAGGTCTGAGTGGGGTCCGGAAACGTTAGGGTGTGTAGCAGCTGGGCTGAGAGACAAGGAATCAGGAGGCTACATCTTACTTCCTGGGATCAAATCACTGGGTGAGGGGAGTTCCTGGGGGGGTCTCCTGGTCTCCAGACTGGAATAGAGGGTGGTGCATGCACAGCAAGGGACAGATTGAGGGATGGCTGGTCCCATGGAGTTAGTTGGGAACCCAAAATTATCCTTTATAAACTGCCTCCAGGGAGAGGAGAGACTGGTGGGCACTTTTTGTGACTTGGATGCATTAAAGTACACACATTCACAAATGAAGTTATAGACAAGTGCAAAGAGACATAACAGAATTTATATTTGTGAAAGTCAAAGAACCCAAAGAGAAAAGAATGCCTTGCATGGGAATGATAAATATCAAATTCAACAAGATGTTTATCCCTACAGTGAGAAGGAGGGGAGAGGTCAGGGAGCGGGGCTTCTATTTTATTTGTAATGTTTTAGTCCTTAAAATGTTTTGAAATCAATGCGACAGACTATTGAGATGAACAGAACTAGTGGTTGGGCCAGAGAGATTTAGTATATTATACTCTGCACTTTCCAGTGTGTTTGAGAAATCGCTTTTTTAAAAAACATCAAAGATAATGACTTCAAGGAATCAGTTGGGATAGAGAGCAGGCAAGTCCTGGTGGGGGGCGGGGCGGGATTAAGGCGCTGGCCAAGTGCCTGGGATCTTGTGGAGGAGGTACAGGCAGGCAGACCTAGGCTCCTGAAGCTGGCAGGGGGCATGAAAGGAGGTGCCAAGGAGTAAGATCAAAGCACTGTCAGAGTTGAGGGCTGGGCTCAGGGTAGTCCAGATGTTCGAGGAAGTAAAAGCGCAAGAGAGAGCGTTGAGGCTGCGCGTGCAGAGGGTGTGTGCCCCGTAAGCCCCATAGACGTGGCAGCTCCGGGTAGGGACCGAGCTGGGGAGGCAGGCTGTCCTTTGCCCCGCTGGCCGCCAGTCCCGAGGGAGCCTTGCGCAGCCGGACAATGCATCAGGTAGATTCTCAGCTCACCCGCTCCCGCCAGGCTGGTGAGACTCTCCCCAGGGGCCCCAAGCCTTTCACCAGCCTGTGCTTCCCTTTTTCCCCTGCACATCCGGAGCTGCTTCCCCACTGCCTGGCCTGGCAGCTCTGTGGCCTGGGCCCCAGAGAGAGCTCTGACTTTCAAGCAGGGTGGGGAGGTAGGTATTGAGCTTTCCAGATGCCAAGGGACAGGTACTGGGGAGGGATGGGGTGGACAGTGTGACTCAGGAACTAAAGGGAGTGGGTTTGTTCTGGCCAGCCCTTCCTGGACCCCAGGTGCCTAACCATGGGGATGGCCAGGCTGAGGGTTCAGGGTTAGGGGAGGGGCTCCACCTCAAGGGTCTGCTCCTCAAGGTCCAGCTGGGGAAGAGAAGACTAAGGAGATAGTTTCTTGAGCCTGTGATAACTTCGTCAGCTCTGGGGCTTACAATATGGAGGTTTGCTACCTTGATGGTAATCCCCCCAACCCCCTCTCAATACTTAGCAGGATAGAGACAGACAGAGGTAGGGATCATGACCCCCAGCTTTTGGTAGAAGACCCTGAAAGAGAACAGAGGTTGGTGTGGGATCTCCTCAGTCCATCTTGGACAAAGCCAGGAATCCACACTGGGCATTCCCTCCCCTGCAGGCCCCTGAACCTGATTCTGAGCAGGGTGTTTTGGGGTATAGCTCTTGCCTCACTCCAAGCCTCTGGGGTTCATGCCTGCTCTTCCTCTCTCCCTCTCCCCGGGGTACACCCCTCTTCCTACTGTGTGTGTGGAGAGTAGTGGGAACATAAGTGGGAACTCCTTTTTCCTGGGACTTTAAGGAATAGCTGTTCACTGCCCCCTGGCCAGGACATGGGACAGCAGCCCATAGTGTGCTAAGATTCCTGACCCAGGACATAGGATCTATTTAGGAATTTTGCTGAAGACCTGGGAAGAGAGAGCAGTGGGAGGGGACTTGGCAGGGGATGGGGCGGGGGGGGGGGGGGGTGGGG